GGAGGTCTTTAAACAGAGGCTGGATGGTCATCTGTTGGGGATGCTTTGCTTATGAGTTCCTGCATGGCAGTGGGTTGGATTGGATAGTCCTTGTGGTCTCTTCCAACTCTATGATTCTATGAGATGTATATTTTTGTTATTGGTTGCTTGTTTTAATTGATTGCATTTTTTAACTAACCAGAGTTTTCTGTCATGTTGTTATTGTGTGTCTTTAAGTCATTTCCAACTTATTGTGACCATAACGTGAACCTATCATGGGGTTTTCTTGGTAAGATTTGTTCAAAAGAATGTTGCCTTTGCCTTCCTTTGAGGCCGAGTTTGACTTGCCCAAGATAATCCAGTGAGTTTCCATGACCAAGCAGGGATTTGAACCCTGGTCTCCAGAGCCATGGTCCGATGCTCAAACCACTCCACCAGTCAGTTAAAAATATAGAATACAGCAAGAAAACAACAATACAATGAAACAATGACTAAAGGCTACAGAATATGAAACCACAGCCCTTGTATAACCCTTTTCATCAGCATCCTCTTTTATTTTACCTCAATTTGTTATGTGATTATGTTTGATTTATTAAACTAACCATTACCTGTTACATTTGTATCATTTTACATAAAACCAATAAAACATTATACACACACACACCACATTAAATTAAATTAAAACAATTAGCAGAGCAAAAGATATGGAACATGAGAAACTATTGTAAGCCTCTTTGGGCCTTATATTTGGATCTTGAATTTGGCTCCATATTGGGAGAAATGTGTGATATAAATTAAATAAATAAATATATTAAAAAGTGCTCCATTTGGTGATGGAAAGACCATAATTTAAGTACCAAATAAGCCTGTCTGAGCTACTACCACTGAAAAGGCCTCCCCTCTTGTAGCTGCCCACCTTACGTCCTCTGGTGGGAAAACCTGGAGGAGAAACTTTGTAGGTAACCCATTCCTAAATTGTTTAGCCTTGGAATGTTGGAATCGGCACTTTGAAATTGGCTGGGAAAGGAACTAGCAGGCAGTGCAGATTTTATAACACCACCACACAGTAATATGATCATATCATATTGGCCAGTGCCAGTCAACAGTCTAACTGTCCAGTTTTGGACCAATCAATGTTTAAATTATAGCCACTGTTTCTAAATTTGCAACTGTAAGAATAAATTAGGAGATGCACTTTTTGTTGAAAATATAGTTGCTTTCTTTATGCACTGCCAAAACTGATGATGCATTTCCATTTCCTCCTCCTCTTTGAGGGCCATTCCACCTCGATGTCAACAAAATGGAAGTTATATTGGAGAGCGGATAATATATTTGGGAAAGTAATATTCATCCTGAAGATCTTGCACTAAAATCGGGGAGGACAATGTCAGAGGATCTGGGTGCTATTTTCCACCACACCTGGAGCTGTAACTAACTACACCAGCACCTCCCAACGAAGCTAGATGTGACCTTTTTGTATGCTACTGCAAAGTGTTCTCAAGGTACATTATGCCATTCATGAGTTATGTGATTTCCTCTTCCCTGAAAGCCACCTTCATAGTTTGGGAGTGCATCTTGATCCAGCTCAGACACTGGATGTCTAGGTGACATCCATGCTGGCAAAAACATTCTAGAAGCAACAGTATAGCCATAGTGCACCAACAGTAGTCTTTCTCCTGAACAGAGAAAGCCTCTAATCTGTCTTATCCAATATCTGGTAACTCTGGACTGGAGATCATGGATGTAATTGCTACAGTTATCTACATTCTGCTAACTGCTAGAGTGGATTATGGCAAAGTGTTATGTGGAGGCTGTCATTTAAAATGTCCTGAAAACTGCAATTAGTGCTGAATATGCAGTTTCAAAGCTCTAACATATTTCCATAAGCACTTACTGTGGTTATGAGTTTACTGGATCAGCATCTCTATCTTAGTCCATATCTAAATGTCATTATTCAAATTTAAGAGCACCTAAGAGAGCCAGAGTGGTTTGAGCATAGGAATAGGACTCTGGAGACCATAGTTCGATTCCACACTCAGCCATGGAAACCTACTGGGTAACCTTGGCTAGTCACACACTCTCAGCCTCAGAAATTCCTGATAGATTCACCTTAGGGTCACTATAAGTTGGAAACTACTTAAAGGCACACAACATCAACAACAAAAGGACACCTACTTCCACATCAACATATTTTTATGCTGTGGTGTTGAGAATGTATTCTCAACTCATCTTTAGAATTTGTGATGAATTATACAGTCAGCTTTCCATATCCATGTGTGTTTTTTTTAATCTGTGGATTGAAAATATTTTAAAAAATATGTGCATGCCAAAAAGCAAACACTGATATTGCCATTTTATATGATGCCATTGTATTCAATGGGACTTGAGCATCCATGGATTTTGGTATCCCAGGGGGCGGGGGGGGGAATATCCTGGAACCAAACCCCAGCAGATACCAAAGCCCCATTGTAACTGTTCACATGCTGAGTGAACAGTAGATTAGTATGGTGATAGACCATAATCTCTATAAAATACCAGAAATTTTGTGCTTTGTATCCCTCAACCTGCCTCAGTGTTCTAACTTTTCTTTCAAAAAAAAAAAAAAAAAAAAGCTTGCCTCCAAATACTGACAAATATTCTCTAAAAAGGCATGGACACATTTTTGTCACATTCATTCTCACCACCCTGGACCTTTTTATGCCCAAGAAAATAGTTTTTTAAACAGAAAGTGGACCAGACATGACTTTGGGTCTTACTCCTGTTAAAAAAAGGGCCTGTTAAAAAAATGAGCCAGGAGGCCCCCTCAAAGAATGGCAAAACACATCCTAGAAAACTTGCTTGCTTGCTTATTTATTCATTTATTTAGCAAACAGGACTTCTGTGGTGCCAATGCAGCCTTCAGTCTCCTGACAGGGGCTACAAAATAGCTGCAAGTAAACAGTCAAACTGAAGATTGTAAATTACAGAAGCAGAGAATTATGCTTCTTTTTCCCTTTTGTTAATCTCTCCTGTATTGTGTATGTTGATGCCACTGTCAATCAACCAACTGATCAGTGGTTTACTTTATCAACAATGGGTATCCCCTAACACGGCTCCTATTGTCAATGGGCAAGAATGTTTTCTTTGCTCTCAATACACAGCATAGGAGTAGGAATCGAGCAGCCCGCCCCCCCCCCAGATGCAATACCAAACATTCTTTGCCATTGATGATTGCTGCTAAGAGTTGCAGAGAGCAACATGATTTCCACCTGTTGTATAAAGCATGGCAGTACTAAGAATTAGGAAGCTTGTGTGACCTAAACCCTTGTGTACACCTTTAGGAAAGCTTACTGGCCCAAGTTTCCACGTACAGACATATGACCTTATTGCATGCAAAAATAAAGCAACTTACTCATGCCAGGATACAATTGGGATATGGCATGCAATAGGCAATTATCACATTAAAAATGCTGCCAATGCTGCTGGGCATCCCAGGTGCATCCCAGCTCCCAGCTGCTCGTAGCCTGCCACTTTTCAAAAATAGGAGCTTCCCATGTTTGCAAATCAGCCAGCTGAACGCAGCTGAGAGCCAGGATGCAGTCACCCAGTGGCACTGGCAGAATTTTTAATGCAATAATTCCCAATTGCATCCTGTAAGCAACTGTATCCCATCAGGAGTTTTATTTTTGCATGCAATAAGGTCCATAGAGGTGTTTAAATATGTGTATATGTTTTCTTTCCTCACTTTATGATACGGTGCATGAGATCACAATGTAACCCTTGAAAATACGACTAACCTTAAGGTTTTTGGCTTTCAGTGAGGCATTGACTGCAATCATACATATGCTTACCTGGAAGTATGTCTCATTGCTTGATTAGGCTGCAACCCTATGCACACTTAGAGCAAACACAGTTGAGTTCTGGGGAAATGATTTTTGAGTAAGCAAGTTTAGGATTGCATTATAAATCTTAGGCTGGCTGACAACAAAGAGGTCTTTAATTGATTGGTGCTTTACTTTTTTAAATTTAAAGTTCTTTCAGGTGTTTTTTTAATCTCAATAGCTTATTCATATTACAAATTGTTAGTTGCTTTTAGTATTATACCTGTTTTTATCTGCTTTTGACCAAGATCCTGTTATACAGTGGGTGAGATTGCACAATTCCAGACTGTTTCAACAGCCATTTGTGGTTGCAAACGGTCAGAGCTGTCACATACCAGACCAACCATTAAACTGGCCCACCAACCATTAAACTGGCCCACTGAGCTGCATTTGAATGAGGAACTGCTTACATAAAGGAGTACTAGATAGCTCCTTATGCATGCATGTAAAAAGTGCAATCTTTGCTGTAACCCAGAGATACACCAATTACATTAACCATTTAGTTGTAGGTATTTTAATCTTGATTTTGAGTCCAAGTTCTAGAAGAAATGTGAAATATAAGTATGATTAATTAAGCAATAAATCATGACTTGCTTTGAGTGCAAGATTGCCATCCTAGCATGAGAAAGTTCAATAGCAGATTGGCACTGGTGCACCATAGGCTCTTCAGGAAAGAAAGGGGGGGGGGGCAGAATCAGGCAAGATCAACTCATAGAAATGCTGAGAGGTGGGTAGGAAGCTGATTTATATGCAGTCAAAACCAAGCTGTGGGGCTCCTGCCAAGCCATATAGATGTGGTGGCAAGACAAACAGAGAACTTGCAGAGCAGCCCATGTAAATATAAACATCAGTGCACATGACGAAGTTCACAGAGTTTATGCAAACACTTGAGAACAATGAGGAGGCAAGTGTAAAGTTTAAGCCACCCCAGTGATGGATTCAGTAAAAGAGAAAGGTTACCAAGGATGACAGAGGGGGGAGGAATTTCTTCATGCTTCTAGCTATTTTGTCATAGTGAGCAGTATTTTAATAAGCCACACTTTGCTCACAATTACATAATTAATGGAAGCAGATGAAGTGTGGCTTTTTCAGAGCAAAAAGCTGCAAACTTGCAACTCCTATTTTAATGCAAAACACTCGACTGATCTAAGGGGTTTCTTTTGTTGCTTCTTCACAGCTGCTGACACACATTTTTGCTTTTCCAGCACAAATCTCTGGAGACTTTTTACTTTTAGTATTTTACAAACATAAAGTCAATGGTGACTTTTGTGAAGCTATGTGAAATGGAGCTTTTGTGGTCAAAATACTTGGAGATCCTCATTCTTCAAAGAAGCACAGCACCAGTTGTTTGTCTATGTCCAGATTAAGGCCACAATCCAAAACATCCAGGTGAGACAGAATGTGCAAAGTTGAAAGCATTTTGAAAGTGATTTTGCACCCCTTCAGTCAGATTGAAGGAGCAAGATGCTTCAAAAATGAAACAAACAAACTACATACCTATCCAGCTAAGTCTTGGATGACTGGCTGGTTTTTTTTTTGTTTTTTGTTTTGTTTTGTTTTTTGTTTTTTGGTTATGATAACAGC